ACATAAAGGGAAGTGTATAACATATGTAATAATTAACGGTGGTCAAACCATGCCAGATCATACACAAAACACTTCTACCTGCACCCCCTCGTTTAATCATCACAACAATTTATTTATAAAAGAGGCAACTGAACCCCAGAAAGCTTTGGCAGAATCCAAGTTTACTGATATTCAGATCTATGCTTTTACGCATGGTGAAGGAACTTTCTCCACTCATCTCTCCTACAAAGAATAAACTTATTTTTATAAATATGCTATTTGTAAAAGAGTAATGTTTTATTTTATAAAAGACTAACCCAAAATGCAGGCACCAAATAACATTGACAGTTAAGAATTTCATTGATTGCAGCTTGTCAGGCTGATTATTACATGCTCAAACATTTTGTTTTTAAGGTAGAGAAGAAGGTAATGTGTTTGAAAAATGTTTTTTATCTAAATACTATGTTTTATAAATTCATGGGTTTTTTTGAGGTAGATTTTTCTTATAACCATTTTTAAAGAAAATAAAAGATGGTCATAACACCTTTTATAAAATGTGATATGCATAATAATTTACCATCTTCACCATTTTTAAATGTACAGTTTATTGGCATTAAGAACATTTATATTGTACAGCCATCACCACCATCCTTCTCCAGAACTCTTCATCTTGCAAAACTGTAACTATTAACCATTAAACAACTCCCCATTCACCCTCCCCATAACCTCTGGCAACCACAATTCTACTTTCTGTCTATGAATTTGACCACTCTAAGTACTTAATATAAGTAGAATCATACAGTGTTTATCTTTTGTAACTGGCTAAACACCTCTTAAAATATACATTGTTGTTTATTTTCACCTTATGCACGTAGAGACTTTAGAATGACCACGTACCTACATGTAAAGTACAGTAATAGGAATTTCTTGGTGCCAGAGCATACATAAGTACACCAGTAGCCATCCATCTTTACCCTTTTTGTGCAAGCACCGTAACAGCCTGAGACATCTTTTTCCAGAGAGACGTAAAAATAACATAAGTGAATAATTGAGCACATTATGTAAAGAAAATAGCTAGCCTATTTGTTGTTGCTTGTAGTAATTTAATTTAGTAAGAATCACACAATATTAGAATTTGAAAAGGATATTAGAATAATCCAGTCCAGCACTCTCATTGGACACATGAGAAAACACAAACTGGTAGTGACTTACCCAAGGTTACATAACAAAGGTAATGGTGGAACCAGTGGTTCTTAATTCCATGCTCTTTTCCTTATGTGTTCATTAATGTACTAATTAGTGTAGTAATTCTTATGGTGTAGCAAATTATGCCTTTGAATTTAAGAGATCAACATTTATAGAGTAAAATAAGTAAAAAGTTAATGTTTACATAAAACAAATAATGAATAACAGAAAAAAGTTACATGCCCTTAATTTTTGCATTAAAGAAAGGTTTATTGGGGATAAGTTCACCATTTTTTCATTAAAACAAAATGTGTTTAAGAGGACTTTTGACATACTAAATCCGTAACATGAGGTTTAATTCTGTAGCATTAGTGGGGTTTTTTTGTACTAATGCTCAGTGTATAATAAAACATAGAATTGGTATGTTTCATTTTGTATAAACATTTTCTTAGAAAAATTTGTCAGTGTTTAAAAATGTGAATAATGATTTCTGCTAGAATTGGTTATGCCATCCACTCAAGCTTCAGGGATCATGTAGAATACTCCTTGGCAGTTGTCTTCATACTTACGTAATCGTATACCTCATCAGTTAAAAAAAATTCACACAGCTCAATTATGTTTGTTTATAACTTACGTATACAAACTACTGATAAATTATATAAAAGCTTACATAAAACAAAATTTTTTAAAGGATATCAAAAGCAATTTTCTGTTTTTCATTTCTGTACCCAGTGGATCACTTAATACACCGCATTTTCCTTTGGAAATCAAAGGGGTTGAGGTTTGTTTGTTTGTTGTTGTTGTTGTTGTTGTTTGAGTCTCACTCTGTCGCCCAGGCTGGAGTGCAGTTGTACGATCTCAGCTCACTACAACCTCCGCCCCCCAGGTTCAAGTGATTCTCCTGCCTCAGCCTCCTGAATAGCTGGGATTACAGGCACGCGCCACCACGCCAAACTAATTTTTGTATTTTTAGTAGAGACAGGGTTTCACCATGTTGGCCAGGATGGTCTCAAACTCCTGACCTCAAGTGATCCCATCTGCTTCAGCCTCCCAAAGTATTGAGATTACAGGCATGAGCCACCATGCCCAGCGAGGATATTAATAATGATCATTATTTACCTAATTTAATGATACTCTGGCCTATTGCTACTGTAACTTAGAACAGTATAACATGAACAAATCCAGTATGATATAACATATTACTTTCATGAGGGTCTTTGGAATGGCAATTTTAAGAAGCTCTATAAAAATGTTACCAAATCAGCTAACACATATTTAGCAACTGCAGATAAGTATGAGATAAGACACAGTAACCATCTACCAGGAAGGAGCTTATAATATAGTTGAAAAGCATCTTAGTTAGATGTATGCTGAGTGTATGTAAAGATAACTGATAATTCAAGAGGGACTATACATAATGTCTTACATGTGTTACAGGGAGTAGAGGTATTCATGGAGAGGAACAATCACTTCAAACCTGTGGGAGTCAACAAGGGCCTCAAGGAGGAGTTGCATTTTATTTATTTGGTTGGTTGGATGGATGGATGGTTGGTTTGGCTTGAGCCTTATTCTTTGAGTAGGCAGAAAGCTTGGAAAATATTTAGGGGAAAATGAGTGGATTTATTTTATTGGAACAGATGGTTTTTGTGAAGGAAACTAGTGGAAGGTCCACTAGGAAAGTAGGCTTGAGTCTTTAGGAGGACATTATACTTAGCCAGACTAAGCAAATTGGACTTTTTCTGTTTGCAGAAAGCAGATATGTAAGTAGTTTAAGAAGATGGATCTGCTGGCAATGTAAATATATTTTGATGGAGAGAGAAAACAGAGTTACACCAGTTGGCAAGCTATTATACAGTTCATAGTAAGAACTAACATTTGAGTGCCAGGCACTGTTCTAAGCACTCTTCAATTGTTAAATCTTACGAGGTAAATACTGTTATTCCCATTTCACAGGTAAGGAAATTGAGGCACAGATAATTTCTTTCCCCGAAGATCACACAGCTGGTAGCCTATGGAGTCTCTACCTTCTGGCTGCTGCTGTGGATCATTTGAATGTAAACGAGAGTTCCGGCTCTGAATAGAAATGAGGGACATGCACACAGGAGACCAAAAAGGAGACCTGGGTAGAATTCAGTGGCCTATGTATGGGGCAGCTGGGGAAGTGTCAAAGATGAGCCAACCTCATTTGGAAAGGGGTGACAACATTAACCAAAACAGAGATGTTGAGATCAAGTGGTGAAAAGACAGTTAACTATCTTCCAGAAGCATTCAGACCAACAAGTAGACAGACGTATCAATAACTAACTTCAATGTAATATCATATAGAAAACATGTTTAAGAAATAGTCAGTGATTTGGGGAAAGAGCCACCTAGGTATGTTTGTTTGAATCTGGGAAGTCATAACATCAAAGGTATTATTTGAGTTAAGCCTTGATATCTGCTAAATTGACAGATAAGCTGAAAGAAGATGTTTCAATAAAGAGTAGCATTTGAGGTAATGGTGAAATATCCAAATGCTAACATCTAGCTTTGGTTAAATCAGGAGGGAGAGCTCCATTCAGGAATCATCTGAGCAGTGGTGATACTTGAAGCCAAATATTCTAAAGTAGAGTATCTTGAAGAAAGACTTTAAGGCATAGAAGGAAGAAGATGCCAGTGAAGGACCTAAAGAAATAGGAAGGAAGGAAGAATATTAAAATGGAGAAGGCCAGGAAAGCAGGGCTGTGAACAGCCAAGTGGTATTCACTGACAGAGATGAAACCACTTCGTGATATATTTCTTTCTAGTTTTATTCTTTGTTTTTATTGTTATTGTTTAAAATTATTTCATAGTATGTGTTTTATGACCTGCCTTTTCAATGAGTAAATGAGCTGCAATTTATTTACTCATTGCTTTGGGGCATTTGGGTTTTCCCTTCCACTCTTAGGAAGCAAATCAGCTTGTAAAGGATTCTGGGGAATGAGTTATAAGAAAATGGATACAAGTGTAAAATAAATATCAGAAAGTTAGCAGTGGGTTTAGTAAACTGAAACAAAGATGAATTATTCATCTTTGCTTTCTGGACAGCTAGATCAGTGACTGATGTTGAATGCATGAAGAGAAAGAAATGAAATTTAAAAGTGGAGTTTGGAATCATGCATGATCAATGCAATAGTTTTTTTTATAGTAATGAACATTTATGTTTCTTAGTATACGCAGTACTAATTGTTTAGCCTTGGAAATAGGAGCGATACCTTTTCTTCTTGAGGCTGAGGGCAAGAGGTATGGCTTTTGTACAGATGCTTTCAAGATAAGAAAGAACAAAACTCAGGACCTGATTAGACTTACTCAGTATGGTAGTAGATGAGTCATCTGCTGAGAGTGAAGATAATGAGGTGTGATTACAGCTTGAAGAGAGTGAAAGCAAAATTTTACGTGTTTCTTTTGAAGAAGATGATAGTACAAGCAGCAGGAGGTAAATAAAAGAATTGTTGGGTAGCAGCGACGACCCAGCTAGAAACTGATAGGATGGTTATGGCGCACAGGAGTGGTTCGGAGGGGAACATGGATTTATTCAAGAATAGTAGCCCCTCAATTATAAGAATTTGGATGGAAGACTGTTTTTTTTCACAGAGTACACTAAGTTTTTATAACCTTCTAGAAATTCAGAGCTGGAAGAGGAGATGTATTTAAGTTCAATTCTTGATTATATTAATAAAAAACAAAAATAGAAATTTTAATGTACATGTATAATAACATCACAAAATGAAGAATAAGCATTTATTATGAGCATTGTTTGATAAAGCATAAAAATATTAACCTCATACTCCCACGTTTTACAGTAAGAGGTTACTCACCTTCATTGATGAAAGTTACCGGTGGTATCTTGAAAGGGCTTTTGGTGGGAGAAGTTGCCAGATCAGGTGGTGGCATTAAATCTCTAGGATAACCTGGATCCCTCTGAATCTCGTTACCTCCCAGCAGACCAGGAGTATACTGATGGCTGTTAGGAATATGTTGTGGCACCACCTGGACAAGTGGGGGAGACACATGGGTGTCTTGTCGGGAAAATATCCTCAAGCACTGTTCTTCCAACAAAGTGATCATCACAGATTGGTTATTGACAAGATCTGTCAAGGAAGCATATTTCACCTCTAGTTCCCTGTACCTTGTTGCCATCTTCAACATTTCTGTGGTGACATTGAGGATTTTGTTTTCCAATTGGGAAAGTTCAAGTGAATTATCCCTCTTACGGATAATCTCATGTAATAGTTGCATGTAGAGTTGAGTAACACGAGAGTTCATGTTACGGCTTTCCTTTCTCAGCAGCTTTACCTCATTCACAATGTTTCCATCTACATCCACCACCAGTTGCAGAACATCTATCTCCCGCTTCTGCCTGGAGAGCACATCCTTCAGGTTTTCAAGGTCCATCCTGGTGATCATGTCTTTAATGGTACTTGCATCTTGCCCTTTGGTGTTGACACAGATTGGCCCTGTTATTCTTTGTTCAGGTACCAGGAATGTGTATGCACATTTCTTTGCTTCCTCTTTACCATCTGTGGCGCGAGGGTATCTTCTCTGGTTTATTTTTTTAATTTTGAATTGTCCACCTCTGCAATGTCCAACGTCCACTAGTAGAAAGAATAGCACACCTAGGGCCCAGGTAAAAGCCTTCATTTTGAAATGAGGTTGTAAAATGATGTCTTTTGAAAAACAAATCAGTGAAGGGGAAAAAGCAAAAAGAATTCATGTTAATCTACATTAAAGTCAGTAATATTAAAAACTATCTGAGGGAAAACTGAATATTGGTGTTAATAAATTAGGCTAGAATTAACTTTATTAATTTCTTAATTTTAATATTAAGTTGTAGTACTTTGGCATTTGTTTAAAAATTAGGTTTCAGAGAATAGCTCTTTCAGCTATCACCTCATTGTAATGCTTTTTGTTCCCCAGTTTATTGAGCAGATTTTGGTCAGTGTCCACTCTGTGCAAAGGTACATTGCTAGTGCTGTTGAGGCTTTTGAGACCCTGATAAGATAGCTTTCTTACCTTTAAAAAGCTCACTACCTTAAGACTATGAAAATGGTACACAGTGTTTGTAAGGCATTAATTAAAACATTCTTGTCTAACCAGTATTACAATTACCAGGTGACTTTACTAGCCAATGTTTTAGATTCATACCATGCAATTCCAATTAAATTGGTCCTCTGTAATAAATTATGTCTTCTTCATTAAAATGTTCAATAAAGTTAAAGATTTTAGACAAATCTAAAGCCAGATAGTTTTAGCATCGTATGCTTTTTATTTTTATAGCATCTCCTTTTGGGATTAGTGACAGGTTTTAGAATGATAGAACGCTCACAGTCATTGTGGGTAATTATATTTCCTGAACCATAATTATATGTACTCTAAGCTTATAGATGATTCAGCAGATTTGTTCTTCTAACAGAAGTTCTACTGAACTGTATTTTAGTACAATGTTAGTAATTTTCTACATGCATTACCAAGGAAAGAAACATATCTGTAATTGAATATGAATGTCAGAGTTGGAAACGCCTTAGAGACCCTGTCATTCAAGAACCTCTTTGTACTCTGCATGTTGAAGGCTAAGGCCACACAAGGATTAGAACTAGGTCTAGATCGGGTTCTCTGGCCCATAGTCAGTATTTATAGCGGCAGCACATATACTAAAATATGTGCTTGGAATGTTTTGTTTTTGCTGTAGCAGATGAGAAATACTTCTTTATAGTACAAATTCTTCTGAGGTAACAGTTTTAAGAGCCAATACTTTTTCCTTTCTCTTTAGTTACCTCCCACAAAAGTAGCAGCAGTAGAATGGGTAAGGTATGTTCACTCCATCAGATCTACTAACGAGCTGGTCTATTACAGGCCACCTTTTCACTCTTGCGAATTTGATACCTATCTGCCATTTTTGAAGGATGGCAGTGGATACCCTAAGACAGAGCTTTTCTGTCCAAATTTCCACATAAGTACCTGTTTCTTGATTTAAGAAACCAACTCCTAAGTCGTTTATGCCTGTTATTAATAACAACACAACAATAACAGTAATTAATGTTTATTGAGTGCTTGTTCAGTGTTAGGCACTGTTTTAAGCCATTTTCATGTTTTACTTATCACCACAACCCTATGAAGTAGATTATTATGATCCCCACTTTCAGATGGAAAACTTGACATCCAAAAGTTAAGCACCTTATTATCAAGAGTCACACAGGTTCATAGTGGTGGAGCGAGAATTTGAATCCTGGCTGAGGACTTCAGAGTTCATGTTTTCATACCCTTATATTTATGTAGCTTAACACATGTTAACTATTTGCATTTACAACACTGAAGTAATGCTGTATCATTTTATAAAGGAGTAAAATCCTTGAGAAGCTAAATCACTCAAATGGGATTCAAACCTTCTACTCCTAACTTTTCTAAACCTGTGATTTTTACCCTAGTCATATCATAACCACAGAGGAGTCTTAAGTTTATGTTTCTTGTTTTTCACAGCCTTTTCCTGGTTTATATCCATTTTCATTGACTGGTTACTTAATTATACAAAAGTGTTTATTGATAATTTTTGGTAGAATTTGTGTCCAAGTTCTGCCAAATCATTTTTTACATCTCAGACTTTTCTGCTGCAGTGCCTTTCCCTCCATATGTACTCTGTCAGCTGGTAGTTATATATCTAACCTATGATTATGGACCCCTCCCGAAAACAAAGGTCATGTCAATGAAATATAGACTCTTCTGCTATCGTCATGAAGACTACTGCTACTTTCACTTTCTAAAACCATGTTCTTTTGTTTTTGGTATTTTTCAGTTGAATAGTGTCTTCAAAATGGGTGGATAATGAAAATAAGGCAAATATGGATGGAGTATGGAGAATTATTATTATTTTACCAACAAGAGAGGGAATGAAAACAAAAGATAGGGAGGCCATAACAGTCTGTATTTCTATCGAGGCCTTCTTTTGCTGACTGATAGCCAAAGCACACGTGGGTTTTTTTTTTAGCTTTTTATGTTTTCATAACTTGCTTTCTGACATATATAGAAAATTTAGACAGAAACAGTCATCTATTTTATTTTTAAAAATAGACTTTTACTATATATGTTACCTATACTAAAAACCGATAAAATATTTATTATATCTCCAGATTCGTGGAATTTAGATATGGGTTATTTTAAAAACTAGGGACAAGAAAACAAAAGCCGTCATACTCCTGGGCACATGTATATCATTTTTCCTATATATTTAATTTAACTTACCTACTGCTAAAGTCCGTTCGTTTTAATACTAGAATGGAAACTCTTAGATCATAAAATTATTTTACTTAAATAATATTTGCTATTGAAATAAACTACCAAAGCAGGGAGAATGCAGGAAGTAATATAAAACTCTAAAACAAATAGAATTTTATTAGTAATATTCTGATTGAACAGCTCGTATTAATACCAGACACAGATTTTTATAGAACAGCTAAAAGTGCATCATCCAAGACTGCTGTTAGGACTTAGCATCAGTATTGTCATTGAAGAACAAAAAACACCAAAATGCTAATCTATTAAAATAAAAGCAGCTTCCTTGTGTGTATTCTGCCTTGGCTCATTGTGGTTCCTATAAGATTAAATCATAAGATAAATCACTGTTTACCACAAGAAAAAGTGATCTAAATTAGCATTTAAAGGAGGCAACTAAAAGTTTATTTTTTAAATAAATACAATTTTTTTAATAATACAAAAATATTGGCTTCACTGTCACTTAAAGCAGGGCAAGGAGCCACATTTCTTAAGTAGTAGACTAGCTACGTCAGGAGTAAAGAACTGGTTTTAAAAATACATTTACTGTTATGTTTTCTAAAAACATTCTCTTATTTAATATTTTCTCACATATATTCTGTTTTGAAGCGAAAGACCCATAAATCTGTGTTACCTCATAAAACTTGCTGTATATGTTAAAATTTTCCTAGGCCCCAAGAGAATGTTATAAATTAGTTATAGAATACTTATGTTTAAATCTAAGTCTTTACTTAGTTATTTTTAAAAGAGAAAAAAAAGGTCTTCTATGCATTGGGTTAATTTTATTAGTAGCATTTCTCTTCATAGTTGCTATATTGCCAGCTAGTAGAGAGAAGAAACGAAAGTCAAGATTTGCCTCCTTTCAGATGGTAAACTCATAGAGGCATTTAACTGGCTGTGTCATGCACTGAAAACAACATGAGGCAACGAAGTTAAATTTATGAAGCATTCAGGGTATGTTAGATAAAGAATTTCTAGATTGTGAAATATGTTCTGGGAAGAGACTTGAAAACAATCTAATCGCCTGGATATATTTAAGAAAAGGATAAATAGTTATCTGTGTGATTTGGGGTTCAGATTAAATGCTTGCCTTAAGACAGTGTCAGTAAGAACTGAGGCTTAATGAAGTCCTGCACTTTCCATAGCATGTAACAATAAAAAAGAGAGATGACAGTATTTCAGATCCACTATTGCTTGGGAATTTTGTTAGAATTTCTTGTAAAATGTATGTTTAACAGAAATCCTGCCAGTATTTACAGTTTTAAATCTTTAAGGAAAGGATACGAAAGCAAAGTTGGAAAAAATTTTAGCTGTACCACTATTTGCTTGTTCAAGATTCTTAACCATTAATATCTTTAATTTTTACAAGGCCAAAGGAGCCCCAAATCTAACAAACGTAAGTGTCTTTGGTTTAAGGCATACTATTGGTAACGAGTAATTTTATCTTTAATAGTTTTTATAATGCATGTAAAAAAAGCTCCCAGATAGAATATTGAAGGAAACCTCTTATGTGTGCTTAACAAAATTATTTCTATCTAAAAATATTACATATTTCTAGCCTTTTAGTCATGTATTTAATTAATTACATCTTCTGGGTTCTTATTTTCTATTGTTAATACTGACTACTTACATAATGCTTTTATGTGTATATCAATAACTTTGCTTTTCCAAGTAATTCCATTTGTAGCAAGTTAATTTCTGTCATCCAAATTAAATTACTGTTACATGTAAGCCTGGAAAGCTATTTAAAATTTTGAGTTGGAACAAGAAATGCCATAGATTACTCTTAAATCTGTACAAGAATTTCTGCTTAATATTTGGTTATACTGTAATTGAGATTTTGTTGCAAAGACTTTCAACTATTTTTATATCTTAGCTTTGTTTTATGACTACACTCTGAGAAATCCAACAGTTCATGTATGTCTTCAGCACACACACTGTAGCTGCAGGAAGAGAAACTAATTGCGTTCAGGACTATTTAGTTTGTATTCCTTTGTTTTTAATCATTGTGCTATAAACCTTATACATTTAATCTGTTACTTGTTAAAATGTCTTTCTGCTGTCACTAAAGCACTTGTTTTCAGAAACCCAGCATGGGATGCATGTATCAGTCTGTAATCATATACACTAAATATCATTAAATTGAACCTCAAATAATGCATTAACCATCGCACAGTACTTAATGTTTTTATGTCAAGTTGCAAGATAAAACCTTTTTCAGATAAGATAAACTAGTATATTCTAAAGGTCTTTGTTTAGTGAAAGATTCTGAAATTTCTACTACAAATATAAAATAGTTATGCATTTACTATACATAATATTTATAAATGAAAGAAATATTAAATACCTTTTTGTATCTGTTGATACAGTGAATCCAGAAACTTGCTGCCCTTATTCTTGATTTTAAAAATCAGTGTAGAAGTTTGTTCATCTGTGACTTTAATGGCAGCTGCATTTTTGTTTTGAACCGTTGAATCCAAGCTGTAAGAAGGAACTTCTTTTTCCTTTTACAATACTAATCAATTGAATTTGACGAGCCACCTGTGTAGTTTTAAGTAGTATAGTAGAAGTTCGGGTCTGTGGGCCGTCTTTAATCCAGCAGAGAAAGTGTTGTGGCTTTGCTCTGTCTGCCACATGGAGAAATGCAGTAACCAGCTGCAGCTGACCCAGATTGTATATACAGTACCCCTGAATAGTGATTCCCTCTTTCTCAGTAGACTCAAGTTCAGCCCACATATTACATCACCAAAAATTGCTGGAGACTGGGGGCGGGAATCTCCTCCTTAGGATTTCCTCTTTGTAGCCTTAAATAGGGGGGTGGGATCAGCAGGAGGTTGAATAGTTTCAAACAAGGAGAGATTGTGTGCAGGTTGAAGGAAGGGCACCATCTGGAAACAAACTATCATAGTTCAGCGGGCAATTATAAAACAAACATTTTAGTCTGCTGGCCAGAGATCTTTTAAGTTGAATACCGAAAAAAAATAGTGCTCAACTTCACTTAGAAATAGTTGCAGGCTGATGAGTTTGGTTTTTGTTAACAAAGAACAAGAGCTAGACTTTGTCAGGAGGCAGCCACCTAAGTAATGTAATACTCTTTATAGCCTAGAAGAATTTGTAAACATTTTACTTATTAAGTTGCTAATGAAGGTTTTAAACTTACAAGAAACTTGATGTTGTTATAGTATGTTATGTCTTACTGTGTAATGTATCTTAAGATGAAACAGCTTTTATGTATAATTACCAAACATGAGTGAAATTCTTTCAGATACTTAATACTTTTAAATATTAAAATTCTGATGTTACATAATGTCATATCCTCCTATTCTACAAAATGACCTCTCTTCTCTGTATAAGGTCATTCTTATTAATTGATGTGGTGTGGTTTAAAAACAAACATAGCCCTGAACTGAGTAAAAAACAAGGAAGCTCTGACTCTCCACCAGCTATGTGAACTTAGACAAATCACTTTACCTGCCTCTGGCAAGGTTCTTCTGCTGTGAAAATAGGGTGTTGGAAGAAATTAGTAAGTGTTGAGTACAACTATACTATTGTATTTCATTGATTGAAGAAATGTTAAGTAACTCAGTAGCTGAAGAAACACAAATTTAGGCTTAAGTAACTTAACTTAGCACTTAAGTACTAAGTAGTGGAACTGGAATTTGAATCTAATGCCAAAGTATTATGCCACACTGTCTGTCATTGATTACCTAGTTGCTGTAAGCTGCTTTTAGATAAAACTTTTGGGCTTTCTGTACGTCCCTTCCTTATTGCTATAGCTTGTGCTGTTTTTCTCTTTCTGTTAGGCCACACTGTTGATCCACATCGTTTATTTAAAGTCTGAGCTTATTTTCTACCTCTTTCACAGAGTCATTTCTTTGAATTCCTGTGCCATATATAGGTATACCAGAGGTTGCAAACACAAGGGCCTAGAAAGGCAAATGCTCTCAAGAATAATGGAGCAGGTAATAGAAATCAATGAAGTAAATCAGTAATAAGATACTGGAGGGAAATGAAGTTTATGGCAAGTTGGCATCCTTTTGGTTAATTTAAAGGGACCTGCCTGCACCTTCTCAGCTGTACCTGTGGCCATGAAGGATTATGAGACAGTGTTGCCAGATCTTCCCATTATTCAGGAAAAAAGAGCCATTTAGATTTTTCCTGTAATACTTCCTGATTTTAAAACACATTGGGACAGATGTACTGCCAGCTTCTGGCCTCTGATTTATATTATGTATCATTTCTTGAGCATTCGGTAATTATGTTGTAGTCACTAATGGTTTAAATCTGGGAAAAATAAGAGATAGTAAATTCTTCCTGAGCTTTTAAATTTCAGCAGTTTGGAGCTTTCTAACTTCAGCACTTAGTAATATCACTAACCAGGGTAGGAAATTGGAATGACAGGTATTTAGGGACAAATTATGGCTACATATGTTAAATTGGAAATGAAAGTCAGGATCTCAGTTATATAGAGAGATTAAAAAGTCATCAGCAATTAGGTAGTAGCTAAAGCTATGGAACTAAGATACTAGAGAAAGTACATGTAGAATGTAAAGGAAGATTAATGACAGACCATGATACCAATTTCCAGGAAACCAGCTTTCAAGAAACATGAGGAAAAAGAAGAATGGTGAGGGCTTAGAGGAAAGATAGGAAAGTTCAAGGTGGGGAAAACCTGGGAACTAGAAGAGAATGGTTACAATACTGCAGAGAGATTACATAAGGAGGGGAGACCAAGAGAGCTGTTTTAAGACTTAGAATGAGAAAGTTGTTAATGCCATTGCCAAAATAGGTGATAGGTACAGATTTCAGATTATTTAGTGTGTTGAAGGGTGACTGGATAAAATTTAACTGACAAATTAGTGTCCACAAAACATCAAGAAATTAGAAATCCATAAGAAAAAGACAACCCAAAAGAAAAAATGGACAGAAACATTTATTACATAGAAATATAAATGTTTAAATGGATTACTAATCAAGGAAATAAAAATTAAGACACAGAGAGATACCATTTTATACAGAAGATTGACAAAATTGGGATTGATAATACCAATTGTTAGCACAAATGTGGATCAGCAGAAGCTTATATACCATCAGTGGGAGTGTGAATTGATATAGCTTTGAAAAATAATGTGACACCATCTTGTGAAGTTGAATATTAATATACTTTAGCATTTGGCAGTTTTGCTCCTAGGCGTGTCTATATATCCTGAAGAAATTTTGTACATGTGTGCTGGGAAATGTGTATAAGAATGTCTGTAGCAACATGGTTGGAGGTGGGATGGGAGTAATCCAAAAGTCTATCAAATAAAATGAATGAGTTAATTGTAAAATAGTCACACATTAGCTTGTTCTCATTATAAGGAATTACAGCGGCATTTAACAGCTTGGATAAGTCTTAGAAACAAAATAGACAAAGCAACCACAGAAGACCATATTTTTAAATTTTATTTAATAAATGCTTATAAGTATAAATAAATGCATATTTTTAAATTTTATTTAATAAATGCTTATAAGTCACTTAGTATGTACTAGACACTTTTCTTTTTTTTTTGAGACGGAATCTCGCTCTGTCACCCAGGCTGGAGTGCAGTGGCACGATCTCGGCTCACTATAAGCTCCGCCTCCCAGGTTCACACCATTCTTCTGCCTCAGCCTCTCGTACTAGGCACTTTTCTGACATTACAAATACTATTATTTAATCCACATATACATTAAAATATGATTTTTAAAGCTCAAAAATAGGCAAAAGAAGGAATACAGGCAGATGTCTGGGGGAAAAAATGAGGTTCAGAGTAGTGATTACTTCTGGACAGGAAGCAAGGAGATGCAGTAGAGAAGGAACATACAGATAGATACAACAGTATTGATGAAGTCGTAGTTCTTTTTTAAAGTAGTATTTACCCCAACATATGAAAATATTAACGTGTAACCAATAAAGTTAATAGATATTTTACATTAATTTTTCATATTAACTCTTCAAAATCTTGTCTGTTTTATATTCAAATACATCTCAATTCAGAATACACACACGAAACAGTAATTACATGTGGCAAGTGGTTATATTGGACAGCACAGTCTAGTACAGGTGAGTTGTCATCTGAGTTTAATGATAGGATGGAAGAATGGCAAGAACTGGCACATTAGTACCCCGCTCAAATCCCACTTCTTCCTTGAAGCTTTCTCTGATCCCATCAGCAAGGAATGACTTTTTTTTGCACAGAATTTTTATGAAACTCCTCTTTAAGCTTTTCTGTGCTACTTTTATATATCTTTTATTGCTGTTATTGATGTACCTATGCCAACATCTCCATGCCATTTCTTCGAGGAATCTTTTAGCTCTCCTTAGGGATGTTGTAGTCATAAGTTGACTGGTCTTTCACAAGTGTTTATTATATTGTTTGATAACAACAGGTGTCACATATGTTGATAATTTTTTCTTAGGAGCGGGATCTCACCGTGTTGCCCAGACTGGTCTTAAATTCTTGGGCTCAAGCAGTCCGCCCACCTAGCCTCCTGAAGTGCTGAGATTACAGGCGTGAGCCACCGTTCCCAGCAATAATTTTTGTGAAATCACGATTCTCACACAAATATGAAATGAATATGTGTCAGAATTTTCATTTAAATTATTAAATTTATAAGGGAATCAAAAATATGTCAAGGGTGAATTCAAAGTAACACTCATATGCAATCAGGAATGCTGAAGTAAATTTACAAATAGTTGCAAAATTGGTCAACATAAGTCAACATTCATTAGATCCCACTGGACATAATTCTTTGGCATGTTTATGAACAATAATTTTTATTACCAGTTTTCAACAGCTGTGCAGAGTTGTGAAATAACTCAGAAGAACCAAACGGATGTACTGGAGACAGGATACCCAGTAATCTTTTTTTTTTCCCCCAATCTCAAAGTTTTTCACAATTTTCCTGACACATAAAAACTTTTATGTGTATCAAATATTACATTAAAAATAAAGTAAAGAATAAAATAAGTGTACTATTCTATGTTTCTCTTCTAAGGTGTGTGTTGAAGGGAGAACAAGAATGTTATCTTGAGGAGTGGGATCAGATTTGAAGGAAGAGTTGCTTAGATTTTGTTTTATAAGTAGGGGAGATTTAAACATGTATATTGGGCCAGGTGCAGTGACTCGTGCCTGTAATCCTAGCACTTTGGGAGGCTGAGGTGTGTGGATCACTTGAGACCAGGAGTTCGAGACCAGCCTGGCCAACATGGTGAAACCCGTCTCTACTAAAAATGCAAAAACTAACCAGGCATGGTTGCGCATGCCTGTAATTCCAGCTACTCGGGTAGCTGAGGCACGAGAATCACTTGAACCCAGAAGGCAGAGGTTGCAGTGAGCCAAGATCGCGCCACTGCATTCCAGCCTTTGACAGAGCAAGACTCTGTCTTGGGGGGAAAAAAATGATTAAAAAAAAAAAAGATTAAAAAAAATGTGTATATTGACTCTGGGAAAGGAGCCAGTAGGGGTGAATGATAGTAGAGGCAACAGTGGTTGTCTGGAAGGAGGCAGCAACGATTGCATTCAAAATTACAATTGAGATTTGGGAAGAAGACAGGGATTCTTCTTCCTCTGAGATTGGACAAAGTGGGAAGAACCTCAGCTTCATTTGGAACCTCAGATTCATTTGGAGTCATAGGGAAATAAAGTTAAGGTTATCTAAAGAAAAAAAGAACGATAGGTGACTTAAAGAATACCGTAAATATTTACTGAGTGGAAAATGAATGATACTAGGATGAGTAAAAAGATTGCCATGCCAACCTTTTATGTTAAACACCTTTCATCAAAACATTGCACAAGATTTTCTTTCTCTTGGAGTGCAAGATAGAGCAACTGCCTTAAATGAGTTTGCAGTCTTGAATAGATAAGATATAAATGTAAAAAAAAAAAAAACTTAAATAATGAGATTTTGAAGTCACAAAGGTCATTACGTGAATAGTATGCACAGATAATGTATGATTTTTAAACAGAATATAAGTAAT